CTTTTTTTCGGGAAAGAGTCTAGGGAGGAGAACAAATAAGTTTTTTTCTGGAAGGAGAATGCAGAAATGAGTAAAAAAAGTTCTTCCAATAAAGAGAATATAATCATCATGACGGCCAGGTTTTTTTCTGGGAAAAAAGTGTAACAATAGAAACAAAAAACAAATTTTTCAGGAGGTAGTGTGCAAGAATGAGAGTAAGGGTGTGGGTGTGGGTGGATAAGAAAATTACCCACGCTCGCACCGACATCCATATTGGCAGCTGAACGTGTGAGAAGGAATACTGTTTGTCTTATTATGGAGCTGTTTTTATATTTCTAGTAGATGTGAAAAAATGGAAGCGATTGTTGATTTTTCTCCGACGAGGCGACTGTGGATTTTTCTCCGATGAAACGAGAACAGTCATTCTCGTCTTTTACTGCTTCGATCCAATTTAGTAGAATTGTGTACACAGAGAAGTAATTGCAGCGTCTATAAACAGACGAGAGAATGGGTGGGTTTGGGCGTGGATGAGAGATAGATACATTACTCAAACCCACAACCACCAACTCATTCTCAAGTTTTCTCTACTTTCAATCTTATTAATTTAATCATTTTTTTCTTCAAAGAGAGATTTTGATAAAAATGAAAATGTTTTATTTGTTTTTGAAAGATTTTTATTTGAAAAAAATATTTGCTAATATATATGAATGTTTATTCGATAGAAAATAAAAATAAAGAAAATATTTTATTTTTCATGTTATTTAATATAAATTGTTTGAGAAAAGAAAAAATGTTTAACTAATTTAATTTTCTTCTAAATTGTTAAAACGATTAACAGATATTCGAAAAAGTGATTTTGATGGAATATTTAATTATTAATTTTTCTCTCCTTTTCTTAGTTGACACCCTCAAATGAATATATTTATGAGATGATATAATGAGAGAACATTTGTTTATAAGCCACGCACAATTATGTTCAACTGAAGTATTTCATGATTTATCAAGTTCTTTTGTTAATTTATTCAAATTAGTTTCTTTAAGATTAAAATCTTCATTTTTGTCTTTTGAATTAATATTTGTATATTAATTTGTTGTTTGTTGAATAATTTCAATTGAATTTTCTTTCCATTGATCAATTTGTTTAATGAGAGAAGAATTATTAATTTGTCTAAAAAGATCTTGATTAAATCCAAATTCAGCTAATTCTAAATAGAACTTTTAATCATGTTCTTTAAATAATTAAAACAAAAATCCTGTAAACATGCCAAATATTTTAACGTATCCTTTTCTTTTCCACATTTGACACAACGTGTTTTATTAATTGCTATTGCTATGTAGAGAATATTTTATTGTGGGTAATATGTCTGTATTAAGAAAAAAGAATGCGTTATATAAGCGTGCGAAAATGCAGATAAATAAATGAGTAATCATAAGTATGGATGTAAATAAGTAACATAGAATAGAAAAATAATAATTTTATCAATAAAACATTAGTATACTAAGTAATATTGATGATAACGGACATGTTTTATTAAATAGTTTTTGTTGAAATTTACTTTTGTTTTCATTTTTGATATTAATGAAGATAGAAATTTGTGTAAAGAATTGATTAATGAATTTAAGTTATTAGAAATAATTATTCTCATTTGTTCTAATGTATTTCTTCTTAATAAAGTATTATTGATCGAAGTAGACAGAATTATTCAGTTTAATATATAAAACAAAAAAAACTAAGATTTTATTGTTTTAAAAATAAAAATTAAGAAAGAAAAAGTATTGTTGATGGCAAATTTAAAGATATTCGATTAAAAATTGAATAAATGAAGAATATAAGTGAAGCTAATGATCTGTAATTTTCATCAATCAGAAGTGAAAAGGTGGAGACAACTTCTTTTCTTTCATATTGTATAAGACTATATTATTTGCAAACAAAAACCATCTCTACAAAACAATTGAAAAAAAGCATGAAGATGGATTGTCATTTGAATAAAGCTTTGATTTTAGTACGTGTTTTAGGTAGAGAAAGTTGAAGGGGTAACCTGAACGAGTATCTTTTAAAAATAATTGAATAATTGGCAGAAATATGTTAGATTTATTTTTTAAATGTTTAACATAGAAATTTTAAGATTTCTCTTTAATTTTCTAGGAAAACTTTAAAAAAAAGTACATCATTCAACTTTCAGTAAGTTTTTAATCTTAACTTTCCTCCACTTTTATGAACTTTTTTCATACAAATCTTAACAATAATATAACAATTATTCACATATTTTATAATTCTTCGGCGCTAGGACAGAATGTCGCAGGACAAATGGTCGCAAGACAAAACGTCGCGGGACAAATCGTTGCGGACATATGGTCGCGGACAAAACGTTGCATGGACAAAATGTCGCAACGAGAGGCTTTCTCAGCAGAATAACGATGAAACGTATATTCTGATAAAAAAGGACTTCTGATCAGTAGATGATATTATAGATACATTATTATCCCGTATGAATGGTGGTTGTGGTTGCTTACAACAAGCGATCCGACTATCAAATCCTGTCGAAGTTTTTAAATAGTTTGACGGGCTATCTAAAGTTAATAGAACCCGTAGCAAAAGATTTTCAGTCTCGTGAGATTGTCAATAAGACCAGGATTCTAACAAATTCTACATGGAAGCGTTTAACCTGGCGGCAAGTGTGGACATAGGTGAGGGGGAGGACGAGCATGAATGTAACATAGATTTACATGAGACTGCCATCATGAGTCTATATGATCTTTAGTGACATCCTTATGGTCACCCTCACCCAAAGTCTTACACTCATTATTACCGAAGCCTATACCTTGTGGTGCGAAAGCCTATCATTGCAAAATTGTGTCCATGCGACATTTTGTCCGTGCGACGTTTTGTCTTGCGACCATTTGCCCTACGACATTCTGTCCGGTCACCAATTCTTCTTTCTTTTCAATCGTTTGAAGAAAAATAAAATGTCTCACTTATTTATTTAAAATTTGTCAAAATCAATTCTATGAACAAATTATCTAATCATCATTTATATTTTATTTATGAAACACCGTCACTGTTATCTCTTCTCCTTTCATTATTATTTCAATGACACAAACAACAGTATCATCAAGTCTTATTGCATCACAAAATCGATCAATTCATCATTCAAATATTTTCTATCTTTTTATTTAATCATAAATCACATATTTAAAATTAAAACAACAAACGTTTCATTATATCATTATTATTAACACAATAGACCAAATTAAATAAACTAACAAATTTAATTATTTTAAAAATAATTTTATTTACACGAAATATTAATTCGATCTATTTCATTTCATCTCATCATTCATTTTATTTATTTATTTATTCATACAGAAGTTTAAAACACTGCAATATTCTTCCATCTTACTTTTGTATCCTCTCAGATTGTCTCATCTTCAATAAGATTTAAAACTCACTTGTGTATGTATCTCAATCGAATCACAAAATTTAATTTTGATTTTTATAATACAATATCAAATTAATCACAACAAAATTAACAAATAAATCAAACTTTTATTTTATTGTTTTAACAAATTACATCGAAACAAATATTTACCATTTAATCAAATTTAATTTAATTATTAACAAAAAGCTCATTTTGAATTTTTACATTTATTTATTTTTCAATTAAAATAAACAAAAAGATTTTCATAAAAAAATTTAATTATTCATTTCATCATCAATATCAAATTTTTGTATTCGACGGTTGTATTCATCGACAGCATAGAGATGACCTTGAACATCGAATGCTATCTTTAATGGCAAAGTGATATATTTTTGATTTGTACATTATCATAATAATCTACAAAAGGAATATTTCTTAATTGCTTTTATAATGTATCAATTAAATTTTTTATCTAGTGGATGTCTATATAATATGATCAAAGACTTTATTTTCCATTTACAACTGAATTATCAATAGAATTTTTCCTTTAAAATAACTAACAAAATTTATTTTCAAATAAATGAAAGAAATCTCTGATTGATATTTTTAAATAATCAATATAAAGTTTACGGTAGATATTTTGGCATTTAACAATCATACCGTTAAAAAGGTTAGATAACATGAATTTTTAGTTGGTGAGACATGAACTCTTATCAATCATAAATTTTTGCACACGATTATTGAGAGTATCAGTAACATAAAGATTTCCATATCGATCGAGAAATAAATCAGAAGGATTATGTAGTTGATCGGATTCTGAACCAACACCATGTTCACCAATCATTAAATTACCAGATGTTGCTCCTCGTGGCCAACGCACAACTCGATGGTTGTCAGTATCAGCTATATAAATAGTACCTAATTGATCAACAAAAACACCCGTTGGGAAAGCTAGCTGATCTAAGTCGCGACCTGATTTATCAGATTGCCCTGCAACAATAATAGGTTCTTCAGCATCTTCAGATACTTTGACTATTCGATGAGCCATATAACCCACTGAGTAGACGGATCGATTTTGATCAACAAATAAAAAATTCGATTGACGTAATTGTGTCGCTATAACTTGTCCATTTAGTTCATCGTCATTCATGTTCCATTTTGTGATACGACCATCTGCATATTCAGACACATAAATCGATCCTTCATCATCTTGTCCTATACCAACGGCTTGAATATGATCAATTATTACTTCTCCTTCTTCAGCATCTCGTTGCCAACGAACAACACGCCGATTTCCTCCATCACTAATATACATTGTTCCGTTTTTGTCAACGACAACATCCTGTGGCATATTCAATGACATAGAACGCGTACTTTCCCATTCTGCACCAGCAACTAATTGACCTATTGTAGCATTTTGTTCCCACATGATAATACGATGATTAGAACGATCTGCGATATAGATAGTATCATTAACATCAAGAAAAATTCCATAAGGATCAGCTAATTGATCAAGACCGTGTCCAAAACCCTTTCCACCAGCAACTGTAATGCCTCGTGTAGCCCATGTTGCCGTCAAACAAATGTCACTCTCTAATCTTGCTGAAAGAGTTGAAGCTAAAACAAATTTCAATGTTTAATTTATCTTAAAACAAAAAAAAAAGATTTTACTGCTAGCTGTTGCCGGTGGAATATCTGATACACTAAAATAAAAGATTTTTTTTGAAGATCAAAACATAAATATCACTTACTTCACAACAAAAAAGAACAAACAGTAGTAGAACCCTTTTCGTAGCATTTTTTCTTGACTCCGATAAAATATTATATCTATATAAATGATTTCATTTTTCTGTGTAAGTATGACTTACATTATATTTTTCTCATACCGTCAACATCGACAAGCATCAATTTTATTATTCTTCGGTAAATAGAGAGTATCAGTCATATTTTTCTTCGTGTATTGATAACAGCACGCGCCTTTCTCAACACGTAGGCGTGTGAAAATTTATTTTTAAACCGATTATAAAATCTCACTCCGAAGATTTAGAAAAAAAAATTTCGCATTCTCTATACTAATTTCTTATGTAGTTATTCATTTGTTTTCTACTCATTGAGTGTATATCAATGCTAGTATTGTAACATCTACCGATTATTGTTTTATATAAACATTAATTATCATTTACGGTAGGATAAAAGTGAATCAGATAGCCCATAATGGAGTTGAGGATGTGCAGATATCAGTTAGAGATCGCACCCACACCCTTTATTTATTTTTAAAAATAAAAATCAAAGTTTTGCGAAATTAATTTAAAATTTTTTCATATTTTTGGATTCGATGGTTTCCCTGATCAACAACATAAAGATTTTCTTCATTATCAAATGATAA